AAACCCTGTTATGTATTTGAAATAGAATTAAGGAGGGTTTTTAAACAGAGAAATATTTCAAGATAAACTTCATAAGATATTTAAAATAGAAAAACTTACTTGGCAGGAGATTTCTTTGGTCCATTGATGTCTAGATTTTGGACTCAAGTTTGAAGGCTTGAATCTAAGTCGGATGATATGAGTCTTCCCCCTGGTGTAGATGTGGGAGATGACTTTGGATCACACTCTTTGGGGGGAACGGGACTACTGGTTGCCTGAGGCTGCAACACATCCGCAAGTGCATCAAAACCTATAAAACGATTCAAAACTTAAGCATATGACTCTCTCACAAATGATAATTAGGGCAGGTGATCATTTAACAGGTTGTCACTGATATCTGTAAAAAAAATACTGTTTTGCCTGCTTATATTATACACAATACATTAAGAGGAAACACACATTCATTTCGCTTTTGTAAACTATATTAGGATAAAGATGCTAGTTTTAGTTGCTGGAAAAACTTGGAGAATTAAGAAACAGCTAAACATAAAATAAATAATGCTATAATAAATGAAACAATATAATATAGCTGAAATATCATCTTTAAATATACCATAGATTGGGCTTTGAGAGTCTACAATTTTTAAAAGACAAAAATAAGAAATCAAATTCCCAGTTTGTAAGGAAAATTTTAAAATTCCCTGCATTTTTTCAGATTTTCCCTGTGGAGTGGCAACCTTGTTTAACTAATGACATTAGATGAAAAGATGTTCAAATGCACACTAATTTTTATTTAATTTAATAGACCCGAATTTCAGCACTAGAATCAAGAGAAGAGGAGGGTGTATATAGAAACTGTAGTTTAATATTTTTATCAGTAGAGAAGTGGGATTTTACACTTTACCTTTATATTTTACACATTATACTTCTGAGAAGTAATTGCAAAACATTTTAACTTCTCATTTATAAAACTCATCTACCCAAAATAAAAATTAACTTTAATAATTATTTATTATTTTTAAAATAGTTAATGGGAAATTTTCCAAAAAAAGNCAAATGCATCAAAACCTATAAAACGATTCAAAACTTAAGCATATGACTCTCTCACAAATGATAATTAGGGCAGGTGATCATTTAACAGGTTGTCACTGATATCTGTAAAAAAAAAACTGTTTTGCCTGCTCATATTATACACAATACATTAAGAGGAAACACACATTCATTTCGCTTTTGTAAACTATATTAGGATAAAGATGCTAGTTTTAGTTGCTGGAAAAACTTGGAGAATTAAGAAACAGCTAAACATAAAATAAATAATGCTATAATAAATGAAACAATATAATATAGCTGAAATATCATCTTTAAATATACCATAGATTGGGCTTTGAGAGTCTACAATTTTTAAAAGACAAAAATAAGAAATCAAATTCCCAGTTTGTAAGGAAAATTTTAAAATTCCCTGCATTTTTGCAGATTTTCCCTGTGGAGTGGCAACCCTGTTTAACTAATGACATTAGATGAAAAGATTTTCAAATGCACACTCATTTTTATTTAATTTAATAGACCGGCACTAGAATCAAGAGAAGAGGATGGTGTATATAAAAACTGGAAATTGTAGTTTTAATATTTTTATCAGTAGAGAAGTGGGATTTTACACTTTACCTTTATATTTTACACATTATACTTCTGAGAAGTAATTGCAAAACATTTTAACTTCTCATTTATAAAACTCATCTACCCAAAATAAAAATTAACTTTAATAATTATTTATTATTTTTAAAATAGTTAATGGGAAATTTTCCAAAAAAAGTAGAAAGAATAATTTTAATATATTAAAAACAAAATCTGTATACATCATAATTAAACAATAATAACATATAGTTACTTGATTTTTTTTTGCTTGAAATATTTATTAGGTAAATGAGTTTTAAATTGTTTTAATTTGAACAAAAATTAGTCCCAAAGATGATGCACAAAATGTTAAGAGATAAATAAGAGAAAATCTAGCAACACACACAAAAAAAAAAGAAACATAACTTAAATTATTTTTTGCACTAACGGAAATTAATTAGCAAAGCATCTTGGTATGTTAATCTTAGGTAAAAGCTAATATTGGCATAATTTTTTTTTTTGCACTCTATATCTATATTATTTAACTTGTAACTCAATAGACAATTGGCTAGTTTTTCATTTTGTGATGTAGCAAAGTAGACTGTTAACCAAACTTATAGTCAAAATTGTAAATATTTGTCACAACTTGGTTCCAAATCAAAATCAGTTTTGAAGACTGCATCTCCATGTCTCCTAAAAATGCACACAGGGTAACAGAACTGTTAGAATTTCTTTCTTGACACAAAATATCAACAAAAGTTAAAGCAAATATTGACTTAAATAAAACAGTCAAGAGTCATTAGTGTGGGAGTGCTTCTCGGTGCTCTGTGACCTCTCTACATAACAAGGTATACCTACATTGGATACCAGGACGTATGGGCATTCTTGGAACTGAGCTGGCTGATGAGGAAGCACTTGCTGGCTCTAGTGTGATTTTCTGGGGCCCAGAATCAGCCTTCGGAATTTCTCCCACATCATTCAGGGCATCTATATTCAAGCTCAGTGGCAAAATTGCTCATACGCACAACTCAGGTCAGAGACAAGCTAAAGAGCTGAATTGTGACTGTCCTAGTGTATGTCAAAAAGAGCTCCTTAAGCTAAAGAGGAACAGTTTGAGGAAGATCATTGGTCTTCTCACTGGACACTGCACCCTCAGGAAACACCTATACGTAATGGGCATTAAATCTAATTCTCTTAGTCGAGGTTGTCATCTTGAAGAGGAGACTTCATAACATATACTTTGTGATTGTGAAGTCTATTCTGCTCACTTTAGCATTTAGGCATTATTTGAGCATTCAGGCCTGTGAGCTGCAAGACGTTCCTGTCTGGTGTTTGGTGAACTACATTTCAGCTATAAGACTTTCTTGTTAATCATGATTTAGGGATATGGGTACAATAGACCTCTGGTCCATGTGTCCTACTTTTTGGAGCTGCCCAACTTCTAAGCCTAAGAGTGAAGATGCTCCACCCATCACATGCTGCCTATTTATTACGCCAACATTTCTAAACATGTGAAACAAATCATGTAAAAAATAATTCAGTTATTTTCAAAAAAGAAAACCATTTTAATTAAATTGAAAAGAAAGATTATTACTTATTATTTCGAACAAAATATTGTAAACATACTGTTAAAAAAAGAAATTTATAAATGAATTGGTGGACAACATAGGTTACCTCCTGTATCAGCTTGGTGAACCACAGGAAATGCAGCATTAAAAGGTACTTCAGTGACAAAATTTGGAGCCATTGCTTGAGGCTAAACTGCTGAAAGATCTGAATTGTTAAAAAAAAATGGATCAAGATAGATTACAGATTAAGATAGATATTAGGATGTGTATATAGCTAATTTTAAAATACCAGATTATAAAATGGACAGAATCAACCATTAACAAAAGTTAGAGAACAGTTTTGACCCCTGTGGCAGACTTTTTTAGAGCTATCTGCGACAATTCTCTCTAATACTAATACCTTTCTGAAAGATATTTTTAATAGTAGCAAATACATATGTAATTAATTTAAAGTAACAGAAGCGCTTTCTGTTAACTAAAATAAAAAAATATAAAAAAAAAGTCTTCATGTATAGCATAGAACGGTATATATAGTTTTTTAATTATAAATCTAAGAATTTTTGTCTTAAATTATAAAAGAATACATGTTTAATATTTTTGGCTATATTCTCCTGTTCTACAAAATATTTGTAAAGTTAACCTTTTTAAATTTTTGCTATTAGGAAATTACTTTTTCCATCTGAAATTCTAGCTAAAGCCACTAATTGCAGAATTTTTTTATTCTAAAAAAAAAGTAGAACAAAAATCATGAGCCACTTTTTTCTCCTCCGATATGCGGTAAAGAAATTTTTTTAATACAATTCTGCAGAAAGGAAAAAAAAGTTTTCCTTTTCTGCGACTTTTAAGTTATTTTAGTTAAAATCCTAGACATTTCTCGAATTTTTCCAGATTGATAAAATTCTCTGACTTTTTCCTGCTCTTTGGCTGCTCTATATACACAAATGGTAATTTTTGACACAATCACAATAAAGATGAAAGTATTTGAAGAAAAACCTAGCCAACTTAAAAACAATCGTTGCCAATGCAACGTTTTCTGACATTGGAGTTTGTTATTTGGGTTTCACATATTGGATGTAGAGATTATGGTACTGGAAACTACAATCAAAGTAGTTGTTTATTCACAGATTTTATTAAGGGTATAGTGTTTGTTAGTAAGAATGGGCAATAACATATACACCTCTGCCTATACTATACAGAGCAATATTTTTGACACGAGATAAAATTAAATTATTCAAACTTATTTCAGAGATTCCAACATAAAAGTGAAAAAATCCAGTAAATTTCAGAACTCAACCGAAATTATACACAAAAAAAGCACACTATTTTCATACCATAGAATATGTAAGAAATGTTAGGGATTCTTTAAAAATTTATAAAACAAAAATAAATACAATACTGAAAAAAAAAAGAAATTAAAATTTGGATTATTTGATAAACTCTGTACTTGCATACAATTAAAAAATCCACAATTCATCAACAAACATCAACAATGGACAATTACAGTCAAATTTTTTTATAATTTTAATGCATTCAGAATCCCTCAAAACTCCCAGAAAACATTTTATTACTTTTCTAAGAAGGCTATTTATTTAGTTATTTTCAATCAAAAAACGCTTACTTTCGTTTTCGCCTGAAACGGGGAGTCACGTGATTATTCACGAACTGACGTCACACGTGTCCATCTGCCGTTCACTTACAATAGCCATTCTATGAAAACCAATACGTTCTTGCTTTCGTTTAAATTTTCTAATTAAATCCAACCATTTTAGATGGTCTAAAGCTATCTGTATAAAAAATTGCGCCTTAATATCGCTTAATAAAAATGTGGATTTGATATAACGTATTTTTATAATGTTAAATTTCAGTGGTACCCACTGAAACATTGTTAATACTTGACGAAATTTTGTAGCTCGGAATATTTAAGATTTTTTAGTTCAATAAAAAAAGTGCATGGTATTGCTTATAAATGATGCGTTATAAATACAAAATAACTTCGTTTTTTCATTTTTAAACTATAATCTTAATTTTAATGTATACTTCAAGTTCATTTGGAAGATTTATTTTCATCTTAAGTGAAAGAAATGTTGGATCAATTTCTTATGTAGAATAAATAGTTTTAGATTTTAAAATGTAGGACAGCTTAAGTTATTGATAATTTTTATCTATTTATTCTAGCGTGAATTCAAAGCATGTAATTGTATTCATAGCAGTAGCCTCTTAAAAAACTTGTGATCCCAGCAAAACTTTATATTTATATATATATATATATTCCTGCAGATTTTATTAACTTTACTTTAATTGCCTTAATCTATGTTATAAGAGTATTTGAAATCAAGCATATGCATTTATTTAGTTCTTTATTGCAGAAATAGGAATAAAATTTTATAAATGCATATAAAAATAATTTTTCGCCATAGCAAAGTTCCTATTTACTCAAAGAATAAAAATATTGAGAAAAAATATCAACATTACTGTTTATTTTTTAATTATTTAATAAATAATAAAGAATGTGCATTAGAATTTCTTTCCATTTTGTATAAGTTAATTTTTTATTTTTGTTCTCTAGCTTTAGTGAAACAAAAACTTCCAGCTTAATGATATTCGCTGAAATTTTGTGGATAAATAAGTTAATTAGATATGGATAAATGAGAAATTAAGTGAAATTTTAAGTATAACTAGATTATGGTGATGATGATGGTCAGATATATTTCAATGGACTAGATTCTTGAAAGTGTTGATACGTTTTCGGCTATACCGTATGCATAACCTGATATTTTTTTAAAACTATTTTATTAAATTTTTTTTAATTAAAAATGTATAATGTATTAATTTTACTATTTTAGAATTCTTCATTGCAAGCACTGACAAATAGCTTGCAAAAATAAGGAGAGAAATTAACAATAACCATACTTTATAAATACTATATTGCAGAAAAAGGAATTAAAATTTATAAATTTAAAAATAAAAATAATTTTGAACTGTAACGGAATTCCTATTTAAGCTAGGAATAATAAATATAAGCGTTAATGTGTATTTAAATATTTAATGCATAGTGAAAAAAAAAAAAAAGATAACATAAACTGCATTAGTAAATATTTACTTAAAAAGAAAATCCTTCAACTCTAGTAATAAATAAATAAATTAAAGAAGCAACATTAAATTACATTATTTGAATTTTTGATCATTAGCACATAGATTGTAACGATGATGGACTGATATTTTTCAATGGACTAGATTTATGAAAATACTGATTTGTTTTAATGCAATAACGAATTATAAAATCATTCATCCTATATCAAAATGTATAAAATTTCTATCCAATCTGCGACTTATTTTAATTATGTAATTAGGTTGTAATGAAGCATTATTTTAATTTAAAAGTAAATGGAATAAAATAGTATTTTCTATGAACTTTAACACCACTGATTTCAGCCGAAAAGAAATGTTGATTGGCTGTAAAGAGTTTATCATTCATAATCATTTCTTCAGATATTCTAATGATAAATAACAACGTTTGAAGTTTTAAAATCTTTCTTTCATTTTGTACACACTCTCAGAACCGTAAATTTAATTCAAAAAATTTTTACTGATTCTTTACAAAGGATTTTCATACGATACATGTGATATCAAAACTAAAAGAGCATTGAAATAGCCTTAGCGGATGGAGACGGCACGTTTCCCTTCGGCACATTTGACGTCATAACCAATCAGGGGTCGTTTTTGATTGCATCTCTTACGGAGGCCTTTTGGGGCAATTTAAATGTTTAATAACTAAATAAATTAACATTTGCCGCAAAAAACAATCAGATTTTCGGTTTCAGGGGAGAATTTCCAATAAGTTAGGTATGAAAATAAAAAAAATTATGATGTGCTGTAATTGTCCATTCATCAACAAAAAATCCACAACTGCAGTGTTAGGTAAGCAGTTTATTTACGTCACACAAGAGCTGCACAATGGGCTATTGGCGAGGGCTTAGGAAACATCCCTAATGATGATTCAAAGACATGCCATCGCAATTTCGATCCTCAGCAGAAGAGATGGCTCCCCTGTTTTTGTAGTCCGACGACCTGGGCATGAAATAAAGAACTTAGGAGTAGAACAGTTTAAGAGGACTGATATCGCACACACTTGGTCCCTACGCAGGCCAATCAAAGTGGTCACCCATCCGCTTACTGAACGTAGTCAGTTATGCTTGAATTTAGTGTTCTAATGAGAACCACGTCTTTATGATCAATCCACTACGTGGACAAGACAAAACTTAAAGAATGTGCAATGGAAAGCATAATTATAGTCGTTATTTTGCAACACAGATATGTTAAATGTATATACAGACAATGTTAGGATATTTGAATAGGACAAAAAGATTTTGTTTAAATACATTTCTACAGATGAATACATAAGAAAAAAAAACATTATACCTTCTTGTGGGTAAGGGACAGCCTGTATGAAACCTCCACCTAAAACTGATTGATTCAGAGACATCAAATCGGATGAGGGCTTTCCTGAGTTCATTATTTCTCTTGGCTTGGCAGGGGGACTCACAAATACAGGAGGTGGTATGGGGCTGGGAACTTTGGGGATAGCATCGGGAGTCTGTTTGGCTAGTTCTTTCAACCTCTGCTCCTGGGGAATAGGTTTTTCAAAATTAATACATTCCAACATTAACTTATGAAGCTATTCAATTTCATCATAGTACAGTCAAACCCCGATAGTGTACCTTCAAGGAACCAAAATTTCCGTTCACTATATCCGCTCCACAATTTTAAATGATGGTTCCTAACTCCCTCCTTTTATAACGCATTATTCATATAAATGACCCATAAAATGAAATACAAAAATGACTGAAAAAGAAAACATAGTATCAAAAAATGTATTAACTTATATTTTTTATTACCTTTCGACTTGCGTACAAAATAAATTAGTAATCTTTAGCTGATGAGCAATCCTCAACATCAGATATGGAAACACTTCCCAACTCTCCAATAATTTTCCCTGAATTTATTATAATCCGCTCTTTAAACCTGTATCATAAAAGCAGTCTCACCAACTTTCTTAGCAAATTCATAGACTTTGCCTTGAAGCATTTGTCCAGATACTGTAAGCTTGTGGCTTCTTTGAATGCTGAACCAATTCAATAATGATATTCAATAATGAAGCAAATAAGAAAAAATGCTTATTGCTACATTCTATGCTATAAATGGTTTTAAAAATTGGTATAGGAATTCATTCTAAAGTAGAAATTTCAAAATTATTACAAAAAAATCAAGAAAATAAAGCAGACGAAATCAGAAGAAAGTTCATAATATCCAACTTCCTCTCTTTTTTTTGGTTCATTATATCCACAAAAAATAACATTATACATGCAAGGCAGGGGAGTGAACATTTTGTTCACTACATCTGGGAGTTCAATCATGTTCACAACAGCGGAGTTTGACTGTATCTTCATAATTAAAATATGAGGTTTTTAAATTTTTTCACTGAGATCTTTAAACATTCATTTTTTTTCTGTAGAATTCCTAGGAAAATCCATCACATTGGACATTGGTCCAATGTTTCTTCATATCGTTTGAATGATTTCTTTCCAAAGAGTAATTTTTTTATTATCTTAATGGTTACTATTATTTTCTAACTCTAGATTATTCTTTAATTTTCATCAATGCTCTAACGAAGGATGGTTTAACTCATTCATCGCCACGGACAAGATATCTTGTCTTTGCTGCACTCTATTGTCCACTCTATGGGCGAGATATCTTCGTTGCACTCAATAACACAAAATATTGTTCATTATTGCAATTGATTATTATTCTTTAAAATAAAATAAGCAAGTTTTAAAAGAAATTGCATTCTTACTAAAATGTTTTTGTACAACCTTAACAAGTTTTATTAATAAAACGGTGCCATGTTAAAGAAACTATTTAAACTACTATTTGTTTTGCTATTTTTATGCACGAAAATTTAAACATCTTGATAACTTTGGTATAAAGAAAAAGAGACACAGCTCTTTTATAGTATCCCTCTAGATCAGTATTCACTCTTTTTAGACTGATGGCACTTTAAAAATATCTGGCATTTTTTGATCATCCGTATTTAAAAACTTATAAAAATAAATAAAAAAAGTTAAAATTTGTTAAATGAATCAAAATTATTTTAGTTGATAAAAATTAGTACTTAAACAATGAAAAAAAGATTTTTCAACTAAAAATACATTTTCTTTTAAAAAGATCACGGGGGTGATCCAGGCTGTCAGATTATCTCCCAATACATTAAAATTAGTTAATAAAGTAGTGAGATTGCAAAACAATTTAAGCATGTGTACAAAATATGAACACTTAATATATTTTAAAATCAAGACCCATGATTTTTAAAATGGGTCTTAACTACAAATAAAGAAAAAAAATACAGATATAACACATTTTCTGATCAAACCATAGAACACTTTCAAGCAAGCACAGAAATTAAAATAAATAATCCTATCTAAAGCAAGCATAAAATACTTAGGAGATGCTTAGGAGATATAGGAATACTTAGGAGATATACTCTTCTTAAAGAATTGAAGGAGATGTACTAACCAGGATAGTATTCCAATCTACAGATAAAGTATGAGCTTCTTCATGCGACTACAGGAGGAAGAAGAAGATATTATTTCTACAAAGCATGCATTAAGAGAGTGAAAAGGAAAAACAGGGATGCCAGTTTATGTAACAATCGCCTTATTTTTATAACTAGTACATGCAGGAGTATGGTTTTGTGCACAACTAACAATGCAAAAGTAAATTTCACGGATTAAGTTTTATAACTAAATTATTACATACGTACTCAATTATTATTTACGTAACTAACACGAAAACTTGTTTAATTGTACATCTGATTATCCAATATTATTAAAATATTTTTTTATTCTGAACTTATACCATTCAGGGGTGATTGTGAGCCCAACTCAAAAATCCTGAAAATTTCTTGGGCGAAATCATTAATGAAGCATTTCAAAAAATTAATGTCTAAATAAATTTAATTCATTCATATTTTCAAAACATGAAATTCCAAATCAATTATAGGCAGCCCAATTTAAATTAATAATTAAGTATACGTTTAATTTTGTCTCTAATCACTTTTATTATTCTACCAGAAAAAATATTTACAAATGAAAGAGATGCCAAGTATAAATTATAGTTCTAATATTTTTAAATAAAATATAAAAGAGTTTTTATACATTAATGCGATCAGTGATTTCTTAAAATTTCCAGAAACTTACTTCCAGAACGCGGTTGGCAAAAAATCTGTAAATCTAAATTTTTTCCGGAGCACAATCATCTCTGACCATTACTATATGCTTCTAAAATATAACCCTTTCCTCTATAATCTCTAATATCAATATTTTTTATTAGTTTATTATTTATAATATAAACCTTTAGGGAGAGTTGTTATCTATCAAAAGGTTTCTCAAGATTGAATTGAGTTAGCATGTCTCATATACTTGAGAATAGATNATATGCTTTTAAAATATAACCCTTTCCTCTATAATCTCTAATATCAATATTTTTTATTAGTTTATTATTTATAATATAAACCTTTAGGGAGAGTTGTTATCTATCAAAAGGTTTCTCAAGATTGAATTGAGTTAACATGTCTTATATACTTGCGAATTGATGTTTAATAATTGTAGTGGTAGTTATGTCTCAAACCTATCTAATTATCGAATAATATGTTAATGTGTCTGACTGTGAAGTAAATAGTTCAGAATTCGAAACACGCTCAGCATATAGATGTTTCTTTCTAGGTGTTATCCTTTGTTGTATGATGTGTGAATGGGTGTGGGTAATGATGCTTCCCTCCATGACTAAGGTTCATAGGTAGCCACCAGGTAACATTAAATAAGCAACAGTTCCAGCATCTTTCGAGGTAAATATAAGAAGTTCAATGCCAGCCGTTAGTAAAAACATTGAGCAAAGTGTTATATGATTGTAGCACAATCTGAGACAGAAGATCTGATCCTGAATCTACACAATAACAGCTCAGAGCTTTTATTTATTGATTCATTAAAGCTGAATATTTACAATAGACCTACATAACAGTATTGTAATGTAATTTATAAATATGCACAGCAAGTAAAATAATGTATAAAAATTCAAATAAGATAAATTAAAATGGGTGAATACTAAGTTTCGTTAAGTTAAAAACTATAACAGGGTGAATAGCCAAATCTTTCAACAAAAAATAAGCACCTTTTAAGTACTTTTTAAGCACTCAAAAAATATTTTTATCACTATTCTTTGACAAAATAACAAAACAAAAGGCAAAATAATTTTCAAAGACTTTACATGATAAAATAATCAAGAAATTTTTTGGTTCAAAATCAGAGGATGGAAAATGAAGCCTGAAATTGAGAATATCTTGCAAATTGCAGCAGAACTGCACATTATAGTGCAATAATCTCACTGAACCCAGCTCAGTAGACGCACATGCGGACTTGCAAGTATTCCATGAAACATGTAAAATGATTGGCGCTTTCATATGCTACGGACCGAAGGTAAGCCGAAATGCATTGGTTGAATAAATCGTAATTGTTCGGTTGAATAAAACAATGTGAAAACCACACTTTTACATAATACGTGGTGAAAATCAAGATGGTGAAGAAAAAAAATCTCATTTGGGAAAAGGGAAAATTAATCACTTTTCAAAAATGCTATGCATCATGTATAACTTTAACAAATAAAAGAGATGCCAAGTATAAATTATAGTTCTAATATTTTTAAATAAAATATACATGAGTTTTTATACATTAATGCGATCAGTGATTTCTTAAAATTTCCAGAAACTTGGATTTCCAGAAACATACTTCCAGAACGCGGTTGGCGAAAAATCTGGAAATCTAAATTTTTTCCGGAGCACTATCATCTCTGACCAATAATATATGCTTTTAAAATATAACCCTTTCCTCTATAATCTCTAACATCAATATTTTTTATTAGTTTATTATTTATAATATAAACCTTTAGGGACCTATCTAATTATCGAATAATATGTTAATATGTCTGACTGTGAAGTAAATAGTTCGGAATTCGAAGCACGTTCAGCGTATAGATGTTTCTTTCTAGGTGTTATCCTTTGTTGTATGATGTGTGAATGGGTGTGGGTAATGATGCTTCCCTTCATGACTAAGGTTCATAGGTGGCCACCAAGTAACATTAAATAAGTAACAGTTCCAGCATCTTTCGAGGTAAAAATAAGAAGTTCAATGCCAGCCGTTAGTAAAAACATTGAGCAAAGTGTAGTATGATTGTAGCACAATCTGAGACAGAAATCCGATCCTGAATCTACACAATAACAGCTCAGTGCTTTTATTTATTGATTCATTAAAGCTGAATATTTAAAATAGACCTACATAACAGTATTGTAATGTAATTTATAAATATGCACAGCATGTAAAATAATATATAAAAATTCAAATAAGATAAATTAAAATGGGTGAATACTAAGTTTCGTTAAGTTAAAAACTATAACAGGGTGAATAGCTAAATCTTTCAACAAAAAATAAGCACCTTTTAAGTACTTTTTAAGCACTCAAAAAATATTTTTATCACTATTCTTTGACAGAAGGCAAAATAATTTTCAAAGACTTTACATGATAAAATAATCAAGAAATTTTTTGGTTCAAAATCAGAGGGTGGAAAATGAAGCCTGAAATTGAGAATATCTTGCAAATTGCAGCAGAACTGCACATTAGAGTGCAATAATCTCACTGAACCCAGCTCAGTAGACGCACATGCGGACTCGCAAGTATTCCATGAAACATGTAAAATGATTGGCGCTTTCATATGCTACGGACCGAAGGTACGCCGAAATGCATTGGTTGAATAAATCGTAAAAACGTAGAATAGAACAATGTGAAAACCACACTTTTACATAATACGTGGTGAAAATCAAGATGGTGAAGAAAAAAAAATCTCATTTTGGAAATTAATCACTTTTTAAAAATGCTATGCATCATGTATAACTTTAATCTCCTTTTTTTATTTGAGAATTTTACAAGATAAATACAGAAATTTTCACGCCATAAATTTAAGAAAAAGGATAGAGCTCTAGTAGTATAATAACACATATCATTTATTACTGTTTTTATCTTCTCAACAGTCAGATTCTCAATAACTAAAAGTGGCATTTTTAATGGAAAATTCAATTATTCAAATTTTAGTTTTTTGATTAAGAAAAATTGAGCTGACTTTTTAAGTATCTCTAATTATTTACTCAAAGTCAATTTGATTTTTCATTTGAATCCCATTTTCAATAAATTTTTTTTTAACCAATCTAAAATATGTTAATAAGAAATGCCAGATAATTTACACCAACACTGATTAGAAAAACAAACATGATAAGGGAAAAGTCAAGCAGCTTACATAAATGATTGTGTATTCCATTTCTCATGAGAGATTATCAGCATTATTTTATTGATAGTTATTAAATTTTGATGATTGTAACTGAGAACCATTAAAGCTTCAAAAAACAATAACGTGCAGCGAAATTCACGCAAAAAACTTAAATGATCCAGTATTCATCGTTCTGCTTGATTGCCTGGATTTCACCATGGAAGAGGTTCTTGAGAGACCTCTCCTTTTCCTCGATTTTTTGAAGATTCATGGCTTCATGGATCTGGTATAGCTCCGCTATCCCAGCTGGGATTGGAAACAACAACAACAGTATTCATTGTTCAAGGAGAAAGTTATCAGTAGCGTTTTATTATCAGTTATTCAAGGAAACAATTTTAATTATTCTAATTGGTGTTCCGAAATGATGTAAATACAATTAGAGTTGCCTCTCAAATCAGGAAAAAAAATTCTTTGTATTTTCCCTGAACCAGGGTTGCCACAGTAAAAAATGAACAAAAATAGTTGCTTTTAGTATCCTCAAGCATGAAAATAGTTGCCTAAAACTATGAAAATAGTTGCCGGAACAGGAACAAAAATTTATCAAATATAGTAGCCAAATAACTAAAATTATAGCTTAACTGTCAAATACTAAACTGCTGTTTGTAGAAAATGCAACACCATGAAGGAATCATCAGAATCAAATGAAATATTATTTTAATAATGGATATAGNCAGCATATGTTCAAAAATTACCTATGGGAAATCTTTAAATCAATCAAAAATAAATAAAAAGGAATAAATCTAGTACAAAAGAAAATATTAATTACAAACATATTTTACTATGACATCAATATCATTGCTTAATTTTTTCAATTAAATTAATAAAGAAGCCAAAGTAAAAGCAAACCCGAGCTTTATTTCAATCTTCTTAAATTAAAAATGATTTAAGATTTATTGATTTAAAAATAATAATACTGTAACAAATTATTTTACATACATGCATTAAAAATTAAAAGAAGAAAAAACGAAAGTGGAAAACAAACCAAAGAAATTTTCACTTTAGAAAAAAAAAAGTTTTTTTTTATTATTTGTTGAAAAAAATCATGCTTTTGAAACATCATTAGACCCTTTTTTACTTACTTATTTAAAATAATAAAAAGTAGTATTAACTAATGGTCAAATTCTGTACTTAATGTAAAAATATTTTTATTTATTTATTATTATTTTCATATTTGAAAATAAAATCGACTAAAGATCTAGTAGTTTAAAAATGATACTGACTATCTAACAAAAAATATTAATAAATTTAGTTACATAGATCTTACCCAAAAAAATCCCTTTTTAAAAGACTAATTCAAAATTTCTAAAGAAAATATCATTATGATTGAATTTAAACTTTACCGTAGTGGTGCCATCTACAGACAAATAATCTATCTTTAAAAGTATTACAAAAAAAACTTATAATAAATTTCAATTTATTACAGTCGCCATGGTCGCCTAAGGCCGAAAATAGTAGCAAATAGTTGCATTTTAGTAGCCTGCAGTTGCATTTAGTATATTATACGCAAGATAGTAAGAGGAAACAAAATTACTGTGCTCTTGTGCAAGCTATATTGGACTAACTATACCAGTTTTAATTGATGGGAAAACTTAGAGAAAGAAAGGGAACATACTTAAACAAGTAATTATAAAAAAAAATTTAAAGTCAATTCCTACTTAGATCAGAAGAAGAAAATTTTTATTTTAGTTACTTTTTATTATATAATTACAGTTTTTTCTCCCACGAAAACTAAAATTAAT